ATCTGTTTATTTCACTCTTCGTATCTGGACATCTACTAGTATCAGCAACTGGACACTTCTAGTAGATACGATTTCATTTTATCCTTTTCCTTGTAATATCTTGGATTCCTTACGAATCCTACCGGCTTGATTACGAACCACAAGTCCTTATGACTTGTTTTCTTTATCAGCGCATTGTATTAGGATTAGCAATAATATGAATCCTGCTGATTCATATTACTTCTTTCTCAGTCAGCGACTGACTGATTTCTTAGCAATTACTGTAAGTTCTTATGAATCACAGTGTCATTGTGACTTGGTAAGCAACTAGTAGAAAGGTATATAAACTCGCATGTACGAGGCCCAAACGCCTCAGACTAGTTCTACCTCTATTACTACAGACAATCGTTCTCACTCTAAGATCGTAGTCGCGGACTACCGATAGTAAGATAATACGAAAGATAAGATAGTAAAACCTAAGAGATCAGTTCTCTTCGAACCTCATATGCAAGGTGTATTATCAGATTCTTATCAGAACATCGAGATAGTAATCTACGAGGTTCCGAACCCTAACAAAAGAACTAGTCTCACCAATAAGGAAAGACCACGTTCTTTATCCAACGATAATGACCGGCTCAACTACGATAACCCAAGGAGATGAAGGTGCTTCAACGAGTACCAGCACTCTTCACAGGACAAGATCTGGAACGGTTACAGCAACCGATCCATACGCATCAGCATATAATCGGAGAAAGTACAAAATAATCAAAAGAAGTGATTCACCTGATTCAATGTACCCGGACAAAGAAGACGCAACCGAAGGCCAGAAGGAAGCCACCAAATTCATTAGAGACATGAAATATGAAAGATTATTCGCGAGCAATCTCGACAGAGACACACTCGAGTGCAATTTAATCTTTCAACATGCGCTAGCAAGGATTAAGGTGTTAGAAGACGAAAACAAAATAGCTAGAGAAAACCTAGTAGACGCCCAAGACAAAGTCCGAGAAATAGGACCAGAACCAGCTCCTCATTTAGGAATTGGGACATCAAGGTCATGGAGCACCAGAATTAGAGAATCTCGCAATAAGGGAAAACAACCTGACAAGGGACAAGGAAGTTCAGGCAATCCGGGAAATGACCCAGACGATCCGAACGATCCAGACGACCCCGGTGATCCAGGAAGACCAAATGGTCCCGGCCCTAGGAATCCAAGAATTCCTACTAACTCAGGAGAAGGAGGCAACGAATATAGGAAACCTTATTCAAAAGAGAAACACATCGGAGACCCTACTCACTTTGATGGGAATCGAAAGGACGCAATCAGATGGTTCATCTCCGTCAGAGTATATTTAGAAGAAAATCACGAAATATACGACACGGACGAATCATGGGTTAAGTTTGCTACTCAAAGGATGACCAAAGGCACGGCACGAGAATGGGTAGATTCTTTTTACCAGAAAGTCATGGCAAAAGAATACCAGAATAGACGACTAGGAAGTACAGAAAGTGCCTGGGGAACATGGAACGAATTTGGTGACCAATTTTGGTTATCATTCCAACCCCTAGACCAGGAAAACTCGGCCATCTCGGAAATGCAAACCTTAACTCAGAAGAAGTGCCGAACTTTGGATGATTATATCCAGAAGTTCCAATCAGCATTCATGCGGTCCAAATTACCCGATGGAAAGACAATTGTTCAGATGTTTATGAGAGGTTTAGATCAAGATCTCACGTTATCAATTATTAACCGAGGAAAACCTCCGGAAACATTAGCCGATTGGATACCCGAAGTAACGGAAGCCTATAACTGGCGAAGACAATACTCGGTAGCCTTAGGACACAAATTACCGGAAGCATCACTCTATAAAAATCAAACATCCCACTCACATAATCATGGCGGAAATAGGTCTCATCAGCGAGATCCCAATGCCATGGATGTAGATGCAATTGATTTCCAAAAACGCAAGGAATACAGGAAACAAGGGAAGTGCTATTTATGTCACAAAACGGGACATATGCAACACGAACACTATTCCGAGCTAGGAGGAAAACTACCGCCGGTACCAGGACAGCCAAAAGAACCCCCGAGAAAACAGAACCGAAACAAGGGAAACTTTCAACGACGGAATAACGGTAAATCCCGAAACGTCCGAGAAATCGACGACAATGAATCCCTTGTTGCCACCGACATAGCAGCCGAAGAAGATACCGACTCCCAGGATTTTTGAATGGGGAATCGGAGGCGGATCCTCACCGGATAGCCCCTATCTTTTCAGGGATCCAGAACCATAAAGGGTTTTATTTACCCTTTCGAACGCAAATCGGAGGCAGATTCATAGAAACAAAAGCATTGATTGATAGTGGATCTCAGCTATCGGTCATCAACGCAGAATACGCTGAAAGGAAGAAATTTCCTATCAGAGAGTTAAATGAGACAATACGAATCCGTATGGCAAACGGAAATACTCGGGAAATTAAAAAGTGAATTACGAAATTAACTTTCAAACTGAAAGGGAAAAACTTCACGGAAACATTCATAATCACAAAACTCGGAATGGATGACATTATCTTGGGTCATCCGTGGCTAATTAAGAATAAAATCTCCATCAACTACGAAAGAGGAACCTTACGGGTTCCTGATGGACGCCACATCCGACTACTCGGTCTAACCAGTGATGATTCAAGTTACCGAATCGGCAAACTAGTTACTGTTCCGCCGGTTCTCAAGAGTAAGGCACCAAACACATCACTTCGACAAAAGATTCCGAAACAGTTTTGGAAATATGAAGATGTATTCAGTGAAGGAGAATTCGAATTTCCCCCAGAACGAGAGTACGACCACCATATCGAACTCGAAGATACTTTCGAACCTCAAAGAGCAAAGAATTATTCAATGAAACCAGAAAATCAGAAAGCTCTAGAGGAATTTATTTCCGAAAGTTTACGAACGAAGAAAATCACACGATCTAAGTCACCACAAGCAGCACCCTTCTTTTTCGTTAAGAAAGACGGAGGTAAGCTTAGACCCGTTCAGGACTATAGATACGTGAATTTACACACGAAGAAAAATCTTATCCACTACCAAGAATTCAAGATCTCTTCGATAAGCTCGTAAAAGGGAAATATTACACCAAATTCGATCTCAAGAATGGATATAATAATATCCGCATTAAACCCAAAGATCGATGGAAAGCGGCCTTTATCACTCCTTTAGGCCTATTCGAACCAAACGTTATGTATTTTGGGTTATGTAATTCTCCAGCAACATTTCAAGCGTTCATGGACGACATATTTCAAGACCACATCAATAAGGGATGGCTTGTAATTTACATGGACGACTTACTCATTTTCACGGAGGACGAAGAATCCCATGACGCATACGTCAAAATCGTACTCGACATGCTGAGAAAGCATAAACTCTATCTTAATCCAGAAAAATGCCACTTTAAGCAGACGGAAATCTTATTTCTCGGGCATATTTTCAGTCACCGTGTGGTTAAGATGAACCCGAAAAGAGTACAACCGATTTTAGACTGGGAAAGCCCAGACGATTACCTTCCTAAGAACATTCCTAATAAAGGAAACCTCGGACGACAAGAATGGATAAATGCAAAGAAGAAGTCACGACTCAAGAGTTTCCTCGGAATAGCTAACTATTACGGACGATTCATTTTGAATTACGGAACAATTGTGAAACCATTGTCCGATATAACTGGGAAGAAACCATGGGTATGGGGGCCTGAACAGAAAGAAGCCTTCGAAACCTTAAAGAAGAAGTTCACCGAGTCACCCGTATTCCGATTACCTGATTTAGAAAAACCGTGGATCATTGCTACGGACGCATCAGGAGTAGCTACAGGCGGAGTTCTCATGCAAGAAGATGAAAACGGCGAACTACATCCAGTCGCATTCATCTCAGAAACATTCTCACCAGCAGAGCGTAATTACGACATTTTCAATATGGAAATGCTCGCAGTAGTTCGAGCTCTACGAGAATGGGAACATTACATTATAGGCAGTCCTTACCCAATCACGATCTGGACTGACTATAAGAACATTGAGCACTATGCCACAGCTAAGAAGATATCCCGCCGGGAAGCTAGATGGTTATTTGATCTAATGAACTTTAACCTTCAATTCAAATATATCCCTGGGAAGCAAATGACGATACCGGATATATTATCCCGAAGATATGAAGTCGACACAAGCGAGGATAATCAGGGACAAACCTTAATTTCCGAAGACATGATTATCCGTGTGATCGACACCGTTCTAAGCGAGAAGCTTGAACAAGCCACATTAAGCGATCAATGGGCTTCGAAAACAATTGAAGCCTTAAACAAATCAACCCTGGGACGCGATCCAGAGGTCCGGAACAAATGGAAGTATGAGGATAAGAAACTCTACTACAAGGACCGACTTTACGTTCCACCGGAATTGAGACATGATATCGTTCAACGAAATCATGACCTGCCGCATGCAGGACACCCAGGAAAGTTCCGAACACGGGAATTAATTGCAAGAAACTTTTGGTGGCCAGGAATGGCACAATACATCAACAAATATGTTGAAGGATGCGGAGAATGTCAAACCCAGAAGGTTAACACCCATCCAACGGTACCACCCTTGAACCCAATAGCGTCAACAACGACGAGACCTTGGTCAGTTCTCAGCTGCGATCTAATTACGGATCTACCCGTTTCAGGCGGATTTGATTCTATATTGGTCGTGGTCAACCACAGTCTTACAAAGGGGGTAGCACTTATGCCTACGACTAAAGAAGTCACCTCAGAAGGGATAGTGCAGTTATTTTTCGACAATATCTACAAAAGATTCGGACTTTACGACAAAATAATCTCAGATCGAGGTCCACAGTTTGCCTCGGAGTTCTCAAAAGAACTCTCCAGATTATTAAAATACGATCTTGGCCTATCTACCGCCTTTCATCCTCAGACAGATGGTGAAACGGAAAGAGTAAACCAAGAAGTAGAAACCTATCTTCGCATCTTTTGTGAAGGTAGAGCGGAAGAATGGAGTGAACACCTGACAATGGCTGAATTCGTGCACAATAACCACGTCCATTCAGTAACAAAGGAAACACCTTTCTTCCTCATGATGGGATACCATCCTAGTCCAATTCCCGAGATCACGGAGCGATCATCAGTCAGCAATGTCACTCAGCGATTAGCAATCATCAAACGTGCACGTCTAGAAGCACAAGCCTCTCATGATTTGGCAAGACGAGTTATGAGCGAGAGAATCATGACTAACTTCAAACCATTCAATGTGGGAGATAAGGTCTATCTTGAGTCGAAGAACCTCGACTTGAAATATTCTAGCCGCAAGTTCGAACCAAGAAGAGTAGGACCATATGAAATTATCAAGGTCATCAGTCCCATTGCTTACCGATTGCGATTGCCGACCAAGTGGAAAATACATAATGTCTTCCACGCCAGTCTCCTCACTCCAGCAGTTGAGAATAGGATATACGGACCCAATAAACAATTGCAAGAGCCAGAGATTGTAGACGGAGAGAAACTCTACGAAGTAGAGGCCCTGGTAGGACACCGAAAAGTAGGCAGAGTAAACAAGAAATGTTGGCAATTCCGTGTTAGCTTCAAGGGAGAGCCAATAGACACTCAGCAATGGTCGGACTGGAAGGAACTAGTAGATTGGGGTGCGAAAGAAATTCTGGAGGAGTATATAAGCTCTCGTCCTCGAATCTTCAAGGACGACAACCCACTAGCGAATGCCCCTTCTACCACCACTTAAATACTTCATATCCACTCCCCAAGGTGAGACTTATGTCTTCCGACTCGAGGATACCTACTCACGCCGCGGTTACGAATTCGAATTCTACTACGAATCGCCTGCGGCCAACAGCTACTATGTCCTCACCGATCACTACTCACGGTATCCCTACCTACCCTTTCCACGACTGCCTTTTGCGCAAATCCCTCGAGGAATCCGCCGACCTCGAGAGCTATTTGGCAACCCGGACTGGTCGCGATCTCTTCTGGGCGCCATACATACACGAAGACGTCAGAGAGGTCTCCATCGGCACGACGTTTCGACGCGCCCTCCGCCACCTCTTCCTGGCTCTCCAAGAGTCATGGGATTTGGAGTGCCCACCGGACGAATCGAGCCGCGAAGACACTACGCAACAGTTCATTGGTACTGTCCGACGACTCCGTCTCAACCTCCACCATACCCGGGCCGAGCTCCTCAATCTCCTCCGAGCCTTTGGGGGGGCACAGCGCCTCGACCTCTTGAGGAACGACATTCCTCCTTGGGACCGTCGTGAGTTCATTCAGGAAACTTTTAATTATAGTACCACGTCTGACAGTGACGATTCAGACAACCCCAGCGGCGATGATGACGAGGACAGCGACGAGGACGAGGACGAGGAGGACGAGAACACCGATCCTCACAGCCAGACATCGAGTTCGATGTCTTCTCAGGTGCTAGGTTCCCAACGTGAGTACTTCACCGCACCTAGCAACATTTTCTCTCGTCCATCTACTCCTTATCCATCCGCTTCTTATCCACCCATTCCTTACACCAACGGCAATGGTCGTCACACTCCAGTTACACCACCAGACGCTGATGTGACCATGGTTAATTTAGCCAGGGTCCCGTTCGCGCCCACGTCGATCCACCCTGCCCAATTTGGCGAAGGTAGGGATCCCCTGGAGCACGGCTGGACAACGGTCAATCGAGAGGACGGTTACCACTGGGTTCGCAAGAGCTCAAACCCATTCTCAGACGGAGAGGTACGTCTTATTCATAATTATCCTAATTGCTGGTGTTCACAATTTCCTTGTAAACTCGGCATTCAGGACTCAGAGGACAAGCCGATGCTGGACGTTGACGAGGTTCTCAATGACGACATGATGCCCAGCCTGCTGCCATCACCCGACGAGGAGCTCCCCGTCGTCAACAATGAGCTCGCCCTCTTCAAGGACGAGCCTTTCGACATCTCGCTCCCCGAGGTAAAGCAGGAGGAGCTCGACGAGTTCAAGGTTCCGGCACCAATCCCCGGCTACGTCCCTTCGGACGAGCTGAACAAGGTCGCCACGGAGTATCTGGTAAGCGGCACAGAAGATTCGTTCAACCGCTTTACTGAGCAAGTTCAGCGTCAGATCGACGCTCTCCGTCCCATCTCGGAACCGACCCCTGAGCCTCCTCGGGAACCATCCCCGGCCGTCAGCGAGGTAGGTCTTCATACTCCACCTCCTACTCCACCCACTACCCCTCGTTCTCCACCCATCATCCTCCCTGGTATTCGAAAGTTATTCCCGCCTAACGCTTTCAAGTCAGGAATCCTTCGATCTGGACTTACGCCGCCGTTCTACTCGGCCTCTTCTCCAGGGATTCGATGTTGGCGACGACTCCATCCGGGCCCCTCGGACCCACAGTCGCTCACTGAGATATTCCCCGACTGGAACTACGGCCACCCCATCTGGATCAAGAGGCGCAACATTGGCATCTCGTGCCATGTCTGCCGTCAGGAGGGTCATACCAAGTGGGAATGCAGCGGCGTCCTCTGTGAGGGTGGATGCCAACGCTTCGGTCCCGGCCATCCTCCTCGCCTTTGCCCAGCGCGAGAACGTTCACGCACCCCGGTCTGGAGAAGATCGGCGACGTCGACGCGGATTTCGCGAGCTCGGGTACCGACGCCTACGACGACAGAACGCCGTCGCGGATCTCGACGCCTTATAGACCAGCAGGTACGTGATCTCATTGAAAGTCTTATTAGACCTATCATTGAAGTCGGTGCTAGGACTGAGTCTTAGGAAGGTCGAGAACTGTAGGCAGTTCTCAGCTTAGCGGGGAGGTACTGTTACGATCTGTTTATTTCACTCTTCGTATCTGGACATCTACTAGTATCAGCAACTGGACACTTCTAGTAGATACGATTTCATTTTATCCTTTTCCTTGTAATATCTTGGATTCCTTACGAATCCTACCGGCTTGATTACGAACCACAAGTCCTTATGACTTGTTTTCTTTATCAGCGCATTGTATTAGGATTAGCAATAATATGAATCCTGCTGATTCATATTACTTCTTTCTCAGTCAGCGACTGACTGATTTCTTAGCAATTACTGTAAGTTCTTATGAATCACAGTGTCATTGTGACTTGGTAAGCAACTAGTAGAAAGGTATATAAACTCGCATGTACGAGGCCCAAACGCCTCAGACT